AATTTTTTTTTTTTTTTTTTGATTTTTTTTTGAAAGTGGGAAAAAGGGGGGTGTTTTCAAAGAGGGGAAATATATTAGTGAGGGGGGGGGGGGGGGGGGGGGGCGTACTCTTATGCTTGCATGCCTTAGCGGTTAGACCATTGACCACGCGTCCTCGAGAGGACGGAGCACTGTTCCCACAGGACCGATCACCGATGGCCAATCGTTCCTTCCTACTTTGCCAAAGGTGGCTCAAAAATGTCTTCCCTAGTCTGTCTATCCTACCGATGTCACTTCCCGCCTTTTCAAACCACTTCCTACTCCCCAGTACCGCTACCGTCCTCTCCTCTCTATTCCATGCCTCAAACATCTCCCTGTACGTCCCTTGTATTCTTCCCAGCTCAGTCATGTACACTTCCCTCTCCTTTTCGTACCACGGACATTCCGCGACTACATGAACACTGTCTTCGCATTCGAAGCCGCAATCACATTTGAACTTGTCGTCTTCGTCGTCTACCGTCCAATGTCTTCGTCGACGTTCGCGAAGGCCTATGTCCCCGGTCCTGAATTTGACCTTAAGCTTTGTCCCTGCATCCATTGGTCCATGTAGGTAATCCTTGAACCCTATTCCTTCTTTCAACATTCCGTACACTTCTAGACCCTCCTTATCCTTGGATTCTTTCCTTAGATTGTGTTCTTCTCTGTCGGCACAAGCAACAGATATCTTCTTCTTGAACCCCTGTAGACCCTCCGTTTCAAGCGTTTCATCTTCGTCGATGTCCAATCCCTTCCATACGTCCTCTACAACCTTGACCCATTCCGTGGGTTGTCTACCCCTCTTTTTGTTTGCCCACTTCGCCTCCCATACTATTCTCGGCAACCTCTCCTCTCCCATCCCGCACATGCGGTACTGCCATGTCAGCTTCCTTACGTCTCTTCCCGACCGTAGGGATTGGATCCCCAATTCTGCCCTGACTGCTGCATTACTTGTGCGCTTGGAGCATCCTAGGATGATTTTCGCTGCTTTCATCTGCGCCGCCTCGAGTTATTTCACTACCTTCTTATTTCCTTCCCATACTTCTCCGGCGTCTATGTGAGGGGGGGGCGATTCGCAAGATTTGCCGTTCGAGATCCGAGGGGAGTTTACCAATGATGCATTTGCCTTTGGCGTCACACTCGCATGGTATGCATACAGTTTGCAACCAATCGCCCGTTCCCTCCGGCACGGAAGTTCTGACGACATGTGGTCTGCGTGTCCCTCCCTCCCCCCCCTCCCGTTCCCCGCTGCCGTCCCCCTTCCCCCTGGCCGCCACCGAAAAAAGATCCGAGACGACAACTGCATAGCGCGAGGAAAGTGCTGGAAGAAGAATTGCTCGGCCTGCCCGAAGGGTCCGACCCAACAGGAGGAGGTTATCTTGACGGCGGAGGTGCAGAAGGGCATGCGAGACAGAGACACGATCGTCTTCGAAGAGGTGGCGGACGAGATGATCGGGCACAGGGCGGGGCACCTGGTGTTCATCATCGAGACGCTCGTCCACCCGGACTTCACGAGGAGGAACGACGACTTGCACATGGATATGGAGATCCCGCTCGTAGAGGCCCTGGTGAGAGAGAGAGACAGGCAGACACACAGAGAAAGAGAGAGGGGGAGAGAGACAGAGATATTTAGAGAGACAGAGACAGAGAGAGACAAAGACCCTGAGAGAGACAGAGAGACAGAGAGAGAGAACCCTCCCGCCGACTTGGGAGATGTTAGTTTAGCAACCGAAATCATACCTTTAGACAGACCAGTCAGTGCTGATCGATCTGAAGTGGCTGTTCTCATGGTTAGATCTGGGCTTAAGACTGCTTTCAGTGGTCTTTGTTTTCGTCGATTCCACGTGTGAAGAGAAGCTTCGGACAGACCTTGTGTTCGTGACTACAGACGGTGCTCTGGTGTTGAGAGTTTTGGGCTTGGTGTTGGAATCATTTCCGATGCGGGGTGGAACAGAGTGCGTTCTTGGCACAGGTTCGAGCACAGTCGTCCCCGCGTTTAGGACGCCTTTTTTGTTCAGTAAGGTAGGTTGGCCTGCAGTATGTAAGAAGAAAAGGGATAAATTGGATTGCAAACACTCCCCCCGATTTTTGAAGGCACATGTTTTGGAGAAACCGTGAGTGTCCCAACAGAGGGGACATAAACCATACCCCCGGTGAATGTCTTCCCCAGAGACACTCCAGTTCTTTTGGTCCTCGTGCTTGAGTGGAGATGCCTTAGTCACTGGCCTCCGTGGTGGCGAACGGAAAACCGTTTTTGGTGTGGTATATCCGTACAACATGACCGCAAATCACGCCTCTTGGTTTTCCACAAGCTGGTCCTCCTCTTTCTGCTACTAACGCACCCATGGTCGTAAACGTTACCGCCTGACCTCTCCGCTCAGTCCGGTTTCGAAGTCAACTTCAAGCACTTGGACGGTCACACGGTGAAGGTGAAGAAGCAGGGGATCACGTCTCCCGGCGACGTGATGCAGCTAAAGAAGGAAGGCATGCCCCGGAGAGGGAGCAACGGGAAAACCTTCGGCAGCCTCTACATACGATTTTCGATCGCTTTCCCCAAGGTGCGTTTTTTCACATCCTCTGCGGAAGCTGTCTACGCAACGATTGAAAAATACTATGCTAACGAGCAAAGGATAACAAGAGAACAAACTGTTTGCCAAACGTCCTCGGCATTCATGGCACCCCCTTCTCTGTAGATTCCCATCCGGACCAGAATTTTTTTGTTGACAAGATAGCTGCGCACCGTTCTTGTGCTGCCAGCAATGCTATGAGCCGTCGGAAGAGCCGGTTATCCGCGCCGGATGAGTGTTCCTCTCCAGCACTTGGCCCAAGAAGTCGCGTCTCGGTTTTGCCGCTATGGTTCGCATCGAGAGTGTGTAGGTATGCGTGCTTCTGTCAACCTTTTGATTGTTCTTGTCAAGAGTGGATTTCCCGACCGGACAATTTCAACGTGCCGCCAGGCACCTTTGCCGTGCTCCCAGTCAGGCAACTCTCTTCTCTAGAGCTTGGTCCAGCAGCCGCTGCTGTTGCTGCTGCTGCTGCTGCTGCGACACCGGCGTGGGTTTCACATAAGCCAGACCGCAGGGTTGTCCCCGGCATGCATCGTTGGCTACAACTGCCGTGGCAGTTTTTGATGCCGTGAACCGTCACCCCCCGACTCTCGCTGCGCTGCATCGTCGGCAAATGTGTCTCCTTTCTCCTCGCCGTTTGTGCGGGACTGACTGCGAGCGCAGGCCCCCTACCCCGATGTTGAAACCTTTTCCGCCTGTCCGGTGCTCGCCGCTGTCTCGTTGGTTGATGTTCGTGCTTTTGTTGCGCAGGCGCTGTCCGCCGAGCAAGTGACAACTCTGCGAGGCGTGCTGCTAGAGGGGGAGGACGATAAGGCGGACGCGACGCAGGAGTTGTAGGGGCTGTGGAAAGAGAGGGGGAGAAATCGATGGGAGATTGGTGGGGTGTGAGTAAGCGAGAGGTCTCGCAGAAAATCTGCAGCCGGCTGCGACTGTGGCTGTTGGTGGTTGTGATGGGGGTGGCGATTTTTTTGTTGATCGGCTGCGCTGCGACTGCTGGTTCGACTGCTGTTGCTTTTGATATCCGGTTTCGGGGGACTCTTGGTAGAGGAACAGCCAGAGGAGAGAGAGAGTGCGCGGGGGGAGGGGGGGGGGGGGTACTCGTAGTCGTGCATGCCGTAGTCGTTAGACCATTGACCTCGCGTCCCTACAAAGCCGGGACGGAGCACGCCGGGTTCTCACCGGACCAGGCTCTCACATCACCAAGCGCGAAGCGTCGTGAGGTATTCGGCGAGTCGCATGAAGGGTGCGCTGCATCCTGCTAAGGGTGTTCGGCATCTTGTGCTTACTTCCTTGCGTACGGATGACAGCTGCGTATGACTTAGTTTATTTTCTGGTGCTTTCACTTCCAGAGACATGTGTAACTGCCTGGAGGATGCTTGACCATATTAACACAACGTGGTGCGACCACCCCCCTTGCGCGGAGTGAGGGTTCTCCACCCCGCACAACATGATTTACTCGACCACCATCATGGTTACCGCCAAAATAAAACAGAGTTAAAAAAACATGGGGGGGGGGTATTCCTGCCCCTCTCCAGTCCCCGGATGTGTTGCCGATCCACTTCGTCGAAGAGGAACGGGCAGTTTTGTGAGGGAGCAGTACTGGTTGGCTTTGACGCGCAGCCAAGCCGGTGCTCTGCGACTGGAGTTCCCCCACGACATGTGGCGGCTTGAAGGGGACGGAGACGCCGAAAGTCTGCATCTCGTCACGTAACACGGTGGTAAATTTCGGAGGCCCGGGAGTAGTGTTTCTTGAGGCGATGGTCGAGAGGCCGGCAGTCAGGCAGGTGCGAAAACCGCGGCTGGTGGCAGCATTAAGCTACTACGAGTATCAAAAGCCGTTCTGTTAAAGGTTGCGGCACGAGGGGCGCACAGAGGACGTATCTGTCCGTTCAGCTGGTGCGAGAGGCGGGGGCTCCGCAGATTGGAAGAGCGGGGAGGAGGTGTGTCCGTGTTCGTGCGTGGAAAATATGGTAATAATAGTGTTTTTGTTCGTTGGGGGTTTGCAGAATTTGTGGGGGGGTGGGGCGGCCAAGCGCTGCATGAAGCGAAGGTGGTCCAGTAAGCTTCGCTCGTGCAGCGACACGTGCAAGAAAGAAAAGGCGATATATTTGGGCGTAGGTGACTACTGTTGACTGTTGTACCTGAAAACCAAGCATCTGTCAAGGAGTCAAGCGGCAGAGAGAATCGACGACGTGATCTGTGCTCCGTGGTCCGCGTCCTAGTCAGAGGACTACTGCATCGGAACGGGAGTTAGTTACGGATGTCAGGCGGCAATTTCCACGTGATGACCTATCCCATTTCGTGTCACCCTTCCGTTGTCTCTGTCGCTACCGAAAGAGGGCCAGCACAAGCCCACAGCTTGAACCAACGCAGTTTTGAGTCAAAAATCGACGGAAATGAAGAGGGCGTGTGCAAGATCAACGACGCAAAAGCTCGTGTGGCAAACAAGTCGACAACTCGTGGGTGACGTCGAAACCGCCTGGCGTTTGGTGCTCCACTACAGCCGTAGCACAGCCATCCTTGCCGCAGGAGTGAATCAGTCGCGTTTGTGTTGCGTTGCGTGGTAACACCTCCACCGAGCATCATGAGGCATGCCTCTGAGCAACGCCCAACAAATGTATTGGATAAAAACCGCCCCCCACCCCTCGCGCGCCTGGTGATGTGAGAGCCTGGTCCGGTCAGAACCCGGCGTGCTCCGTCTCGGCTTTGTAGGGATGTGAGGTTGATGATTTAACGACTACGGCGGCTACGAGTACACAAACCCACCCTACCCCCCTTCCTTCGCCGCTTCGGGCGACTGGCGATGCGAGTGGCCGATTCCCGGTGCGGCAAAAGTCAACGTACCATGTTGGGGGTGGTCCTGGCTGCTGCTACCACCTACTCTATCATTAGTAGTCAGCGCTGACTGCTGTGGTGGCGTGTAAGGGGCCACTAGCCCCGTACAAAAAGTACACCTGCAAGACAAATATTGGTGCTCGGAAAAGGCGCGCGCCTCGATTCGCGGTATTCGTCCCTTCGTTTGATCTCCTCTCTTCTGTTATCTGTAGGAGATCAAAATAATCACTTGCTACCCGGACAATACGCGAGATCGAAGGGGGCGGTTTCACTCTCCCACAAGGGAAACGACACACAGCCTTCGTGCGTACCCTGCCTACACCGCCTGCCCACACACCTGTCTCACCATGGTAGCCCCCCCCCCCCCTCAAAAAAAAAAAACATGCTGCTGTAATAACCCCCTCCTTTTTAATATTGAGCGCACCAACCAAACAAGCTTGAATTGACGTG